CCAGTTGCTGATTCACAAGAGTACCTGCCGCCTCCAGGAGCCTCAGTCTGGATTCCACACTAGCACGCTATGTATGTACATCTATCACTCAAATGAAGCAGGTGAGAAGGTTTTAAGCAGTAAAACGGGCATGAACACTCAGCACGGGGAGCAATAAAGAAATAACTTTTTATTAGGAAGAAATCCCCCACTTAGTAATGGCTCAGCGATTCAGCTCACAAGGCTCCCTCGAACAAGCCTATAAACACCAGCTACATGTGCAAGGTCAGTTAAGCAGGTAAATGAAACTTCCTTTTAGGTTTCCTTTTAGGCTAATAGAAGTAAATGTTGTTAACCTTCTAGTATAATAGGATTGTAATTCCCATAATGGAATCTCCCCATTGCACTCGGTGAAACCTGGCCTAAAATCAAACCGTGGCGTTACTCACAATGTAACATGGCAGAGCATAATCCCTCACACAGAACACACTGGCTGTGATTTGAAAGAGGGTTTCAGTCGCTTTTACCAGTTCATGGCCGGAGAAGCAGTTGATTTACTTTACTGCTCTTAAACCTTCCCACTGGCCACAGTGCATTTGTCCAGAGAAGCATTACTCAAAGCAGAGGTTGTGAAAATGTTTTGCCTGTGAGAGTTCCTGAGGCCATAAGTTAGACCGTATATCTTGTATATACATAACACCATCTTTCAAGGCCTAGTAGTTCGATTTATTGGTGTGTTGAATGTACCATATAGAATATGTCTCTAAAGAAAAGCTTGTTATTATGTGTTGTAAAGTAATCTATTAGCTGTTGATTCCAAGTCCATTATATTCCAAGCCTGTTATACGATGTAATGTTTGCTTCTGACATGCAGTGAGAAAGAGCAATGCATATCCGTGTCAGTGGACTCTTGGAATCTACACATTCAGGAGAGTTTTGGTTCAGTGAAAAAAATAAAAATATGTGTAGATAATGGGAGCTTTTAATTCACAAATGTTTAGGATTGGTGGCTATTTTGACTCTCTTTGTTGAGACAGGCTGCACGTATGGGGAAAAAGTACAATACAAACAGCTTAATTCAAGATGCATGAAACTCGCCTTTAAACCACAATGTAAGAGTACATAGAAGTAGGCACAACTGGTTACTGGGAGTTGTTTCAAATGATGGGTTGAATTAGAAGCTTGTCTACGTTTAGTGGAAAAAGGATTAGTTCAAATGTTGCATTTTGCCCTCCAAACAAGACGACTTTTCCTAGTGTGGCTCATCCTGAAGTTTATATTCTCCTGATCTTTGTCTCTATTCTGTTCACTGAAATCTACGGCTTGTCCACATAGCCCTTCCTGCTGTATATGTGTCACACAAACCCTCCCAAGGGAGAAGGCTGGCAGGTTCCGGAAGATTCTAGAGGTTGCCAGAAGGGCCAGTCCCGCCCCTGCACAGATGCCTTCCATTGGGACCTCATCAGGGGAGGTATATGAATGCCCCTGCTGGGGCAGAAGAAAAAGAAGAGATGTGGAAGAGAAGAGAGATGTGCCAAGCCATGCTGCTCTTGCTACTGCTCTGCCCCAAAGCCGTCGGAAACCGGGAAAGAATAAAAGAAGACAGCCAAAGAAGAAGGGTGAATAGGTCGCAGACACTATGTCCACCAGCACGTAACTTTCTTCCCAAACCCCCACATAAACAATGCAGCCAGCCCTCTCCTTTCCTCTCCTGCCATTTCAGATTTATTTGATGTGTTTTTGGTATCAGAATCAAAATGATTTTACAATTATGAAGGTTTTATAAATGTGCATGATTATATTACTTCAGAATTTTAAATGAAATTTAATCTATGGAGATACAATCCACACATGTAAATCTGTAAATACACAGATTAAACTCGGATTGCGTAATTTCAAACATAAAAAAGGCATAAATGTATGTCAATATCCTGAAACATACATTACCTGGCTCATATTTCAGATTTTTTTTAAAAATAAATACAACCAGATTTGTCCGTCAACACTTCCGGGTTAGAATTGTCACATGTGCATTTCAGGGTCAAGTTGTTAGATATCCCAGAATACGGGATAGAGTTTTCGTATAGTGGTTAAATTATGGAAACGCGTGTTGAAGTGCATTCAGAAATATTGCAGCAACAGATGTATGTAAACAGAAGAAACATACATTCATGTAGTTAATACTATGTGAATGCGTATTATTTTTGGCATAATTCAGGTCACAGATCAACATTAAACAATAAATACGAAGAATACGAAGGAGATTCCATGTATATATACATACACAGACACACTATGGTGGCCTAGAGGGGCTTTGAGGCCGTTAGGATTGTTGGATTCGTGTATCTTTTGGTGGCTCCCAATAACATGCAGCTGCACTGGGTTGTCTCTAATTGGGAACCCTAATTAGTTTCCGTTTGTGGCTCACTTTGTGTGTTTCTTTGTCTCTGCATAGATTTCCTGAATTGCTGCTGCTTTGTGTACTTGTGTAGTTAAGTTCTCAATTAAATGAAAGATGATTCAGCTAAGCTCTGCAGCTGCATCCTCTTTCCTCCAGCACCGTGACATCATCAATGATGTACAGATGTGGTGAGCGTGAAGGCCATGGATATGTAACTGTGAGGTAACAGTGTAATCAACAATGGATTGGCCAATGTATTGTGGACTAAATATGTCAAAGTTGTTGATGTAGTTTTAAGGCAAAAATCTTTCAAAACATTAAAACCCTTGTTTACCATCATCAACAGATACACAACTGTTTAAAAGTTTGTCTGATATGTTTAAAGTGAATTGTGAATCATTTAGTTAACAAATAATATTGTTCGTAACAGGATCTTTGTTTGCAGTTTACTGCTAGTTTCTATCTTGTAAAATAAACATGTTGTTTTTAAAGATGGCAATAGCGGATGACAATAATAACCTGTCAGAGGCAGCTCACAACAGAATATTACATTTACTTTGGAACTAACTCAGGGGACCCGATAAAGGGTAATTGGTGGTAGTATACAAAGTCAGCAATATATACAGAGGTACTCAAATATAGTGGCCAATGTGTCAGCTTTCCTCCTGTGGCCGGGCCCAGGCAGGTTAGCTACAGTTCCAAGCACCTTGAACTTCTTAATAGAATTGCAAATGTTGTAAAAGGAACATCAAGCTGCTTGAAGATTGGATTGCAGCCTTTACCTTTACCATGTGTGTCTCTTACGTTCTTCAGATCTCCTCAGGAAACAATTTTTTGCTTTTTTTCTGGTCTATGTTCAGTGTGGTACACACAATGATACCAAACAGCACATTGACTACTTTCCTCCATTTAAAAAGGCTGAGTGACTGATTACAAGATTGGAGCATATGTGATTATTCATCCAATTATTTATTTTAATTTCTAAGTGGTACTAACAAATGTGTCCAGGCCATTTTGGAATATCTTGGTGGGATGAGATTCTTTGCTTTATTCTATAACAAACCAAAATCAAGCAAGTATTTATGATGCAATAGCTTTTAATGTCATCCCTTTTCAGGAGGAAGATTAAAGTGTTTCTAGTTTAAGTACCTCTGCGCCTGTGAACTTCTTCACGACCGAAACCTTACACAGGATTTTCAGTCTCATTTGACATCTCCAAACATGGCAATCTTAATGTAAATGTATACATTAAGCATGGCTACATACTTTATACAGACAGATATCCAGTTACCAGCTGATTGTGGCCTTTACTCTTCTTATGGTGCCGATAGAACAACTACAGATACATCTGTGTGTTGATTTCTTTGCAAGCTAACGAGGTGTTACGATGGTATGCTAATCTGTGGTTGCATTCGCACTGGGAACTCTCAATGGTTGTGTGAGCCATATTTTATTGGACCTAGCAATCATGAAAACAAAGCTTAGGGAATGTGAATACCATTTCAGCGATGAACATTGCCTTAGGTTACAGTCACATGTGAATGATTTCCAATCTAAACAGTTCTCTAAGGGTGTCTGCTGTGGTATCACATTTACTGTACATTATGGGCTGTCTAAAAGGTTTGCAATGCAGTGTGAAAGCATTATTACTAAAAATGTAACAAATTATACAGAAACAAACTAGAAAAGACAATCAATAAGATTGTATCTCCTCATTGACTGCATTTTGATTATAACGTGTTTTTTTCAAAATGTCCTTTTTTAAATATTGTCTAGTAATATGGTCAGGGGCATCAAAGATTGAAAAATCTTAACCACGTGTATAATATGTTTGCACATACACATTGATAAGCCAAAACATTATGACCACTCTCAGGTAAGGAGATTAGTGTTGATTATGTCCAACAAAGGGGCACATGTAAAGATTTAGGCAGATTCAATGGTAAGCAAACAATCTGTTCTCCTATTCAATTTGTTGGATGGGGAAGAAATGGGCAAGTCAAGACCCGAGCGACTTTAAAATAAGCCAAATTGTTATTGTTCAGAACATCTCTGAAACGGCAAGGCTGGTGTGATGTACCCAATCGGTGGTGGCGAGGACCTACTGACAGTGTTTCAAACAGGGACAAACCAAACACAGGATGTTGGGACCCCAAGACTCAACAATGCGTGGGGGCTGCGAAATCTGAGAATTATAGGCCATAATTCAAATTCTCTCTCATACGCACTACTGAAAATCAAACCTTTCTCACACATACTACTAAAACATTCTCACGTTCACTACTGAAACGCTCTCGCATAACATAGTGAAACACTCTCGCAGATCTTCCATTTTCAGTTTTGTATGCAAGAGCGTTTCAGTTGTGTATTTGAGAGTTTAAATTTTCAGTATTGTTATTCACTGTAACGAATCCTAGCACACAGAAAACATCTAGTGGGCTGGGAGGGCAGTGCAGTACCCAATGCACACTTTTGAAGTCACCTGTTTATGGGATTCAGTGATTATTTAAGTCACTGAGTCTTGGGGCACGGTGTGGGATATTGTTTCTTTGCCATGTTAATGTATTGATGTTAGTGTTGCATTGGATCGCTGTTTTAATAACTTAGTAATTATTGGAGAAGTTGATAGCTTAGTGGTAGAGTGCATGCTTTGTATGTATAATGTCATGGGTTCGGTTGCCGTTGCAAATGAAAAATACAAAGGTTAGATACCTTTTTTAGTTTCATTATCACAGTGTTGTTTTTTTGACGTTTATGGTTTTTCTTTATTTAATTAAATCCTTGAAATGGATTATCATGGCCTGAGTCTGGCTTTTATCCTGCACTACACCAAGATATGTATTACACCTACCTAAATAAATTTGCAGACCAGATACACACCTTCATGGCAATGGAATTCCCTGATGGCAGTGGCCTATGCTGCTGGTCATAATGTTTAGTGACACATTTCTCCCATAAATATTAACATGACCAGTGTGGTGATCATACAATAGTTTATTCCAACACGTTTGCTTTTTTTTCAAAAAGCGAAACTTAACTCAATTGTCGTTTCTAAACTTCTATTCTCTAACAATAGTTGTTTATCTGCGCATGATATGCAATTTTTCTTTGAATTTATTTGTTGGTCTACAACTAGACAGAATCCATCCAGCCAGACAGATCGCCATCAACCCCAGGTAACACTAGAAGCACAATGACTGGTTGATCTGACGCATCTTGTTTGTCTTTGCAATACCAATGAAACTGTTAGCGTCGGAAAGACCAGGCTGTTAACTAAAAATACAGTAACGCAGGAGAAAGTGAAACCAAAAAGCCTCTGAAAATGAATATAGATGGCACTATCATATAAATACTGCATATAGTTATATGCATTTATGTTACCATTTTACCAAACAAATTATTTAAAACTAAACCAAACAAATATCAAAATATTTTACAGGAGACACATGTCCAAAACACTGATGTAATGGATTTTTAAATAATAAAAATATCTTCAGATCAAGATTAAAACAAAATCTTCTGCTGCTACAGTACAACATTTAATATTGGTAATATCTTCCTCCCTCAGGTGGCATTTAACGTGTTACGACAACTCCACTGCTGCGATAATTCTTCCATGTCCTATGTATTATATAGGTAATGTTTTAGAATGGTATCTGTCTTAATTGCAGACAATTGTTTAAAGGAAATTGCATGAGTTTTCACAATGGTCCCAAATAAGGCATACAATGCTAATCTGCTGTGTTTGTTATGCTTATGTCTTTATTAAATAATCACCTAATTTCCCTTCATACAGTGTTACAATTAGTTGTTGTTTTTTTAATTTCATAATTGACTATACAGACTAAAAAACAATGGACTGGCCAGGCCAGGACAGGGACAAATGTTTGGTTGTACTAAAAACGTATAATCCAAAATAATAAGGGATTAGATGCAAACATCCACTTAATGCAAATATGTATTTATTATGTACATCTTAATATTAAACAATTATATATATATATATGTATATTTTTTTCATAATTAATTTATAAAATATTGTCGCACCGTTTTTATTACCAATCCATTATCAATTCATTTGGCCCTAATCCGGGTTCATAGAAACATATCCGTTTTAAACCTGGTTAAAACATTTATCTTTTCACATGCCTATGGCTGAGCGCTTTAACTTTACTAGCCCGTTATGTTTATTTTTTTCTTTAAATATTTTAAATTCCTTATTTTTTATCTATTTATATCATTTTTATTCTATTATTTTTTTCTATTACATACCATACATGACTCCATTGTGGGTACGGTACTAAAGACCTTTTATTCCATTGGTGGGAAACTTCCATGACTGTGCTGATATTTTCATGGAGAATGATAAATGGCCAAGGAGTTTTAGGCTATGATTAATGCTAAAAGCTGTCAATTAATAGATAAAGGATTGCATACATTTGACAAATGTGTCATATGTAAATCAGGACAGGTGCAGCTTGTCCTCGCGCCCACCACTTCATCCAATGTATTAATATACAGTGACATCTGCACTTGTTTAGAAGAGGTTTGACAGTTTTATAAATCACACTTTTAAAAGATTGTACGTCTCCACACACTCGGATCTGAGATCTTTTGCAAAAGGGTTCATGAATGAGGACCATTGTCTTGGCGTTAGATTCAGTTCATTAACCTGATCCAAACATGAAACACAGAACCAAATAAGGCATACAATGAGTGGATTTGTATCCGGATGCTAATACGACCATTAGACTCGCATGACCTGGTAATTAATTAGACTGGTATGAAATACGATATCTTGAAGAGCGTTCCAACAATTTTACAATCACCAGCCTGAATCCGACAGAGCAAACATCAACAAGTTGAAGAAGAAACAAGTTGAACAAGTACACGATACACGGCGGCTAGGAAAAACTCCCTGAAAGTCAGATTTAGGAAGAAACCTAGAGAGGAAACAGGCTCTGAGGGATCACCAGTCCTCTTCTGGCTGGGCTGGGTCAGTTTATGACAATACAACAAGCGAGGTGTGAATATCTAAGAAATCAAAATAGTCCGGGAGGACCAGGAGGAATGATGGGTGAGATGGGCTTGGAGGAAGAAGCTCCGGTTGCCCCCAGGGAGGATCCAGCATATGCTCCAAGATGGAGCGGTCCCCCTGACAGAAGTGGACACAAACACAGGGAAAGGTTGGACACTAGTTCCCGGCACAACAGTATACCAAACATAATACTTTAAAAGGAGACAGGGGGGTTAGTGAGACAATGGCCATGAACGGGTAAACCCAGGACAAGTCCAGACAGATGTTAGTAGAGACAGGACACAGGAAAGGTTAGACACCCTGGTTCCCTACGTCCCCGGCACCATAATATAGCAGCATAGATCTTAGAATGAGACAGGGGGGTCCAGTGAAGCTGTGGCCCTGAACAGGGTAAACCCCGAAACAGGGCCCAATAGGCCGGAAAACACCCACCCACTTTGCCGAGCATCAACCCAGGGACACCAAACGACCATGACCACTCGGGCAGGTTTAGTTTTTGCTCACAAAGTTACTCGAGTTGGTGGAACAAACAAGAGCTATAGCGAGCCAGTGACATCCACACCCCAAGGAGCATATGAGAGGTTTAGTTTTTGCTCACAAAGCTACTCGAATTGAGGCTGCAACGGAGCACTATTGCGACCCAGTGACTCCTCCCCACAATTAACTGGGATAATCAGAGTTTGTTCACTAGCTACTGGGATTGAGCGAACAAAGGAGAGCTATAGCGACCCAGTGACTCCTCCACACAGTTAACTGGGATAATCAGAGTTTGTTCACTAGCTACTGGGATTGAGCGAACAAAGGAGAGCTATAGCGACCCAGTGACTCCTCCACACAGTTAACTGGGATAATCAGAGTTTATTCACCAGCTACTCGGATTGAGCGAACAAAGAAGAGCTATAGCGAACCAGTGACTCCTCCCCACAGTTAACTGGGATAATCAGAGTCTATTCACTAGCTACTCGGATTTAGCGAACAAAGGAGAGCTATAGCGAGCCAGTGACTCCACCCCCCAGGCAGCAGCCTGGAGGAATCGTTTTTGCTCAAAAAGCTACTCGAATGAGGCAACACCAGGGAACCATAGCGAGCCAGTGACTCCACCCCCCAGGCAGCAATCGAGAGGACACCCCAGGGGAGATGTGAACACGCAAGGCAAAGACAGCAGGGCAGAATGAGATCCAAGCCTTCCGTTCACCTTCGTACCCTGGGCCATATTACAATCAACCATAGACCTTACTGAAAAGATATGTTTTTAATTGTGATTTAAAAGTTTGAACAGAATCTACATTTCTAACTCAGATTGGCAACTCATTCCATAATAGAGGAGCTCTATAGTAGAAGGCTCTACCTCCAGCTGTTTGTTTAGATATAATTTTAGGTACAATTAGGAAACCAGCATCCTTTGATCTAAGGTTACGCGTGGGTATGTATGGCTGGACTAATTCAGTGAGGTAGGTGGGAGCAAGTTGATGTAAAGCTTTATATGTCAACAGTAGTACTTTAAAGTCTGCCCTAGACTCGACAGGCAGCCAATGTAGAGAGGCTAAAACTGGGCTAATATGGTCAAACTTCTAAGTTCTAGTTAAGATTCTAGCAACCGTATTAAGTACTAATTGAAGTTTGTTTATTGATTTATCAGGGTAACCAGAGAATAGAACATTGCAATAATCTAATCTTGAGGTAACAAAAGCATGGATTAGTTTTTCTGCATCAATTTTTGATAAATAGTTTCTGATTTTTGCAATATTCCGAAGATGGAAAAATGCTGTCCTTGAAATATATTTTATGTGATCGTCAAATGAGAGATCAGGGTTTAACGTACAAACTGTAAGAGTATAGTGGAAGGTATGCTTGCAGAGCTCCAATAAAGTTACCAACCCCCCAAAAAATTCTGGGTAAAGTTCAGGAAAATACTTAAATAAAAGAATGTGTCATTGAACAATACACAGGCTGATCTGGGCTGCTAGCTGCAGCATTCGAAGCAAATGTCTAGTGTTTTCAAATATAATCCAAACAAATAATCATAATGTCACAAGTGGTGACCGCTAGGTTCCCACTCTGGGTATTTAGTGGGACGCACTTCCTTTTTTCTGGTGGATTGTTATCAATTGTACACAGCTATGCTTCGTTAGCATTCAGCTGGGAAATGTAAATGTCTCGGGTAGTATCACATGTTGCTGGATATTATTTGAAGTCACTAGTAGTTCGTGAGTGTTGTTTCTCTAGTTCACCGTTTAATGTTCGAGGTAAGACGCTAGTTAGCACACTGTTATTTGTAGTTCATGCTTTGTGTTTTTTTTCCTATTGTATAAAATGAAACACCACACGTGATTATCAGCTCTGCCTGTCTCCCTCAGAACTACACCCCTTATGAGAATTGACACATAAGTATATATCAGTTGTGGTTTTCCTTGTTGAAATGGTGTGGACATAGCCAGTAGGACGTGGAGTAATATTTCATATGAGGGTGTACCTCAGGTTACCCAAACAAGACAATGGAAATAACACATTTTTCTTGAGCTCCTGTATTCCTAAATTGTAAATAATTGAATATGACGCATTGCCCAAGACTATTATTTTTCAGAACAGCAAAAGTAAACTGAATGAGTACAAATGTTATTAAAATTGTTATTATTATATAACTTGATTCATA